TTTTTTTTTTTTTTATAAGAATAATATTTTCGGGCATAGAATAAAAAATTGCATATTTATATTTAAATGTGACAAAGAACGATGAAATATTCAAACTTTTTTCTTTCAAATGATATCATGTTTATCAAAATCGATTAAGAATTAAGCAAACAACGGAAACACTTTTCTAAATATTTTTATGTCAGGGTTGATGAACAGTTTTAATTAAAATAAAATATTGATATTAAAATACATAAATTATTGAAAAGAATAATAATTTAATAATATATGTGTGCGTGTAGGAAGAAACTCGTAGATTTTTCTATTATTGGTAGTAGTATATCTCAACCGGTATTCAACCCTTTTCCTAAATGCATGAAAATTCACATTCTCCAACATTCTTACGAAAAGTAAGGCAATCTGAAAATCATATTGTTTGCTATAGTCTTGGAGGCATAGCAACAGTTCCCATAGGACGTGAAATAAGCGAAAATAAAAACGAAGAAGGAGGAGTATTATAAAAGGATAAGAGGATGAATAAAGTAGAAAATTTATGATAGAATAAACTGTTAGAAAGTAAATTGTTTGAGTATATTAAAAGAAAATCAACAAACTTTTATAGATAATATTTATAATGTTCGATAATTCTTATTTCTTTTTATTTTTTATTTTTTGTTTTTATTAAATATTTTCTTTTCCAAATGGGGATTTTCTACTTATGTTTTAGATTATATTTCCTTATTCTACCATGTATCATTAATCCGTGTATTAAAACTTTTTGAACATGTGGGTACTTAAAATTAAAAATATTCTAGTCAGATTGAAATTTCAAAAGTTAATCTCGTACCCGTATTTTGGAACCCAAATTTTCATTTTACATGCTCGAATAAAATTATTATTTTTCCTTCTAATTTCTTTTACTTAAACTTATAATTATGATTTAAATAATATTCATTATTTATATATCCTTATAGATTGAATATACAATATAATTATATAAATATTTCAAAGAACATTTTTATATGGTAAATAATAATAAATATACTTTAACACAATATAATTTAAATACAAAATAATATTATACATTGAATATTTAAGAATATTTAATAAAATTGCATATTTTCGAATCTCTTTTCTCGTAATAAATTAGAAATTTTTATATACGCGGATAAAGAGGGTGAATAAGGAAACAGAGGTGAGAGGTAACGAGGGTTGTACGCTATTGCGCATGCATCTTTGAATGAACACGCTTTTCAAGGCTTCAGTATCTCCGGTGAGGCTCGTGGGAACGGTACCCCTAACGAAAAGCTCTTCGTTTTATTTCGTGATATCAATCTAAAATAAGAAAAGAAAAGAAATGTGTTAGAATCGAATAATAAAATTAAAAATATAATACAAAAAAACGAATACGAGATTGATCAAATTAAAAAAAGGATAGAAAAAGAAAAAGAAAAAAATAAACATTAATTTTTCATTATCTCTTTTCTTTGTTTTTTTTTTTTTTTTTAATCTATTTACGAAATGATCGATATTTCATTAAGATCAAATGAACATTTAAAAAGATTACTAAATCATAATCTTCATCTTTTCATTTATCTTTTTCGTTAGTGATTTTTTAAAATTATGGTGTACGCTTGGTGGTCACCATTTCTTGATAAAGAAAGGACACGCGATATGAGAATTCAAGCGTGTAATTCTTTAATAAATTTTCCTAAACAATTTTAATGTCGAAAATATAAGTGAAACGATTTTTCTTTCGTATTGTATCAATGCCTTCTTTATGCATTTGCCTCAAGTGTGTTTGAAATTAAACGAGAGAAATTGTAAATTATCATTGAAATACGATTTCCATTGTGTACAAAGTAATGTGATTTGATATTAAATTAACGTTAACAATTTATACCCTGGCGAATAATTATTCATCAGAGATCGCCAAAGAAAAATATAATCATCAAATTTTTCGATAAATTATTAATCAACTTTCGAGATTATATAAATATATTATTTGTATAAAAATAAATTGATAAATATAATAACAATAAAGAGGGAAAAGAAAGATGAGATCAGTTCAATTTATATATATATAAGTTATGAATAAAAACTGATCCAGGATATAAAAATAAGAAAAATGATGTTATGATCGTATTACATTAATACAAGGGTTTCATTAGAAAACTGTAGAACATAAAAAAAAAAGAAAAGAAAAAAAAGAAAGAAAAAGTACGTTGAATTTATAAAGAGCATAGATTTTTCTTTTCTCCAATTTTGTGATAAATGATTTCTTATTAATATTTATATTGATTATATGTGTGTGACAATACTCTTAACAAGACTGTGCAATTATAATAGTCGTATCAAAATAATATAATTAATAAGAAGAAAAAATTATACGTATATAAATACACACACACACAATTGGAATGATCATTAATTAAAAAAACGAAATAATTCAGGTCACTTATGGGGAATTATTTTAATTTAACGCATACATACATTTCATAATTTTATAAATAAATTGTTCGCAACTTGAATTCACATATTAAATCGTAAATAAATAATAAATAAAAATGTATATGCACACATATATATATATAGATATATAAGTAGAAGAGAAATACAAAATGTATATTCGTGAATTTAATTTGAAGAAACTACTTTGGTGACAATTATAATATAATATAATATATATATATTCCAACGTAATTCGTGTAAAAGTTTATAATAATGAACGAATATAAATCCGACGTTATATAAAGCGTGTCAGTGAATTTATTTCTATTGGATAAAGAATTGGACAGTTTTATTTAGATTTAAAGTGTTGGATTAAAAAAATATGAATAGCGTGGACTCGTTTTATTTGTACAATTGCAGTACGTCTGTCTTAGGAACTAATATATCATCGTTATTAAAATTAAATCACAGCGAACTTATTTTACTACTAAACGAAGCATTGCCGTTATTAAAGGAATCAGATCAAGACGCATTTTTCAAATGTTTTCACAGTGTACAAGAACGTCCGTTCAATTTACCATGGTGGCAAAAACTTACATGGTCATTGATCTTTGCTATCATTTTATTAGTAGCCACCGGTGGAAATATAATCGTCATGTGGATAGTACTCGGTAAGAAACATATCTATTTTTAAACGTTGATCAGTAATTTGATCGTTATGATCGAAAGGTAGAGATGGGCCATTAAATCATTGTAATATTAGAACTGACATTTCTTCGATGTAACCATTTTTTTTTCTTTTTTTTTTTTTATTATTATTATTCTATTTAACTAGAGATAACGATATCAAATTATCGACGAGTTGCGTGTGTCTGAGAAATCAAGGATTTTTATTTTTGTGTTTTTTTTTTTTTATTATTTTTAGAAATAATTATTAGAAATTTCATATAAAATATCGCGAAATTCTTTTCACTTATCGATTATTTATTCTTTTAGTCGAATATACAAAATTTCATCGATTTTTTATTGATACCTTTGTATTCTTTTCTTCAACAATTTGAACATTTTATTATATCATTAAAACATAATTATCATTTTTTCTAGTTTATATACTTGTTCGAATAAAAATAAGTGTTCTTTTCGATATTATCAATTTATCATTAACACAGAAATGTTTTTTTTTTTTTTTTTTTTTTCACGTTAACGAGATAATCAACTGACATAGAAATGTATAGTAAACGCGTGTAAATGATTAAATACTTATTTACATAGACGATAACTAGGTAACAATAAATAAGCATTATTTTGACGATATCAAATTAGATTAATTTCATCGATTATTCTAAAACGGGGGTGGGGCGGGGCGGGGCAGGGGGGGGTTATTTTATCAATAAAATTATCCCATTGAAATATCTTTCAAGATAAGTTACTTGTAATTAATGATATTATAAGCATACGAAAATCCACGTCAATCGTTATTTCATTTTCATTGTTACGAAATAGAATTAATTATCATCATTACAATTCGCTAGTGAAATGACTTTGTCATTTATAGATGATACCCGTGAAATATAACAAAATATAGAAATCTTATAATAATCGATCGGGAATACATAGAAAAAAAGAAAGATATTACGTTACAGAATGATTTACGTCTTTCAAGGATTTTCTTTTTCTCGAACATATATTTATTACCATCATAACGATACTCTCTTTTTTTTCTGTATCACGATACACTTAGAAAGACACGGTATGGGGGGGGATAAAAAAAAAAAAAAAAAAA